GAGAATTTTTTTAAAATATTAATGTTTAATTTTTTATATTTTTTTATTTGTTTTATTATTTTATATAAAAATAATTTAACAACTCCTACACTAACAACTATCATCAAAACAAACACAATTTTACTTAATCTCCTCACTATCAATCCCCTCACCAACAATCTCCTCATTATGAATCACCTCCATTCTATCTCAAACGGGACCTTAATTTAATAAATACTAGTATGACAAACTTTTTACAATGAATTGCAAACACAACGCCAAATAAAACAATGTACGTAGAGAGACAATCAACAAGTAGGAAAACATTAGGATGAAACACTTATACAATTTCCTTTATTAACAACTAATGAAAAAAAAAAAGTAAAAAAAAACCTAATCATACAGAAATAGAGAGAATAAATAGTGAAATACAAAAACTACTCTTATTTTTCTCCAAGGGATGCGGAAAACAGGCGTACTTCATGATTAGTCTTCACGGGACATTGATTGTCCAATCTGATTTCAACATAATATCACCAAGCCTAATCAGTGGATTAAGAGTTGAAATGCCTCATTAGTGTTCTCCACCATGTAATCGTAACCAAGACCAGTGGCACGATCTCGGAACTCCTCCATTTCGGACTGCGCAACTTGAATTCCAACCAATACATTAGCACCTGTTTCACCCTGTTGACAAGGAGAAAAATAAAAACAATGATGAAAATTGATTGCAGAGAAGAAAAATTGTCAAAAAACAATAATGAGAAGCATTTAAATCTCAACCTGTCCGCGGTAGTGGAACAAACTAATATTCCAACGTGGACTCAAAGCATCCAAAAATTTCATCAAAGCACCAGGCCTCTCAGGAAAAACAAACCGACAAAGAAGCTCGTTCCGAACATTAGACCGCCCCCCCATCTGACAAAAATCCAAAATAAAGCTGAGTCAAATAAAAACCTAATGCAAGTGTAATATCTTACTAAGAAAACAGCATAGTGAATATGCTTCACATTTAGAGGGAAATCACCCAATTAACCAATTAATTGCCTGTCAAAAATGGAAGTGAAATTCTTTTGTTGACTTGATGAGCCCATTCTATTAGTAATACTAATGCCGAACTAGCCACTTGTGGTTGCCAAAGATCATAATAATTGATAAACATAAAGTTTTACAAATTCTCACTTTGTTCCATATTTGGTTTTCAATCATGCAAGGTTCAACTTCAGACAAACATATAGACTCCAGCTACATCATGTTTAAAATTACCTTACCCTGTGGTTTTTGTTTAAGGGTGGTCCAAATTACAGCTTTTGGAGAAACCCTAATTTACATTACAGGACTTGAATTACGATTTTTTAATCTAGACAAAAAAATAATTGTACACACGTATATAACTAGTTACTCCATAGACAATTATTTTGGCATATCCACTCCCCCTCATTACTACACGATCTAGGCACTTGGCAACAAACAATAGTTCCAGTACAAATGCCCAAATATAGAGTGATTATTCTCTCCATGGATCTGGAATTCTGATAGTTGCCGTGACAAAAATAACTTAATAGACAAGGGCATGTCAACATCACCTATACATGTCAGGGAAAAACTAAAATCCAATTCCTAATGCTTTTTCAATCTTCATTATCGTCAGAGCTCTATAATCAAAATAATATGGTTCCATGAGTTCTTAGATGTCCCAGAAATAGAAGATAATTAACATAGGTAAGACAGGTGTCCATTCTAAATGTGCTAGTTTTCAGACAGTACAACTTTCGAAAAAAAAAATTTTAAAAGAAAGTGTCGTTAAAAAGAAACAAGCACAAGCGTTACAACGCAGAAAGATTAAAAAAATTATTAAAAGAAACTAAAAAAAGACCAAATTGCTTTTTCAAAGGAGGCAAACAAAGGAGCATGCCTTAAGCTTATAGATTAGATGGTCTTAGTTACTTCATTACAAAAACATGTCCACCACATATTCTCCATCAGCCACAAAAAGGATGTTCTATGTGCTTGCAAAAGAGACAGAATAAAACTATGCATAAAAATTATTCAGCATATAAATAATGAGGAAATATAGTAAGAAGGTTACCAAATGCCGTAGATGATCTTTAACCAAATCATTGTTTGTAAGATTAATGGTTCGAAGTCTAGAAGATTCCAACCGATCTACCATTGCTCTTAGTTCTGAAACTGTGTGAAGGCCAACACTGCACATGACCAAGATAAAATTATTATTATTATTATTATTATTATTATTATTATTATTTTGGATAAATAAGATCAAATTATTATTATTATTATTATTATTATTATTATTATTATTATAATTATTACTATTATTATCTTTATTTTAAGTGAGTATATGGTCCTAATAACATCAAGTATGTAAAAGAGCATAAGTCTTGTCCTTTCTCCTTAATATACAACCAGTTGTCAGATGAGCTTTGTCAAACAAGTAGGGCCAAGTTATACAAAAATATAAACAAGCTAAACTAAGTATGCCTATATTCAGAAAAGAAGAGACTGTAGAGTGATGAGGAAGGGGGTTATTACAAACTATTCTAACGTCTTCTACTCAGAAATCTACAGAAAAGTTCTTACCTGTACAATACCAGAGCTTCTTCTTTATCAGAATTATATCTATATTTGAACTCTGTGATATTCATTGGTCCCACCTGCCAATCAAGTGATTGTTATTCACACCATAAACAAAGATTGAATTAAACAAAACATTGATCAATGTTTTGAATAACATACTAGCTCACAAAATTGTTTAAAGCTGCCAGGCTCTTCTGGCAACAAAGTAGCAAGAACAGCCTCCCGCTGCCTACCAACGTCTGCAAGTTCAGTCACCAATCTAAGTCGATCAAAATTCATATTTGCCCCACTGGTTATTGCCACAATGTTTTCTCCCTCAAGGCCATAATACTTGCAATATGCTTCAGCTCCAGCAAGGGCAAGAGCACCTGCTGGTTCGAGAATGCTCCTTTTCTCCTCAAACATGTCCTGCAACATGAGCACAAAAATATAATAAGCCCTAAGATGTTAAAACTTCAATGTGCAAACCCGCAGTCTTAGCCATTAGTTCTTCAACTAAAGTATGCAACAGTGGTCATACTGTTGTTCAGTACTTATAACACGTCAGTGCCAAGTAGAAAAATAGAACTTCATTCAACAATTTAAATTACCCTTAACAAAAGGTTGTAAGTTGCAATGTGTTTGTTTGTTGGCTCAAATATCAAGGACTATAAAAACAAATATATTCCACGGCATCTACATAGTTATGTGCACTTATAAAAGTGTGAATACCAAGCCCTAGCCCAAGTGGCAGAGAGGGAAATCACTATGTTCAATGAACAATAAATAATGCTGCCCCAAGAGCAATGCTAAAATTAAAACAATTCTCATTCTTCACTTAAACAACAATACTTGTTAATATGAGAACTTTTTGTGAATGATGAGTAGCTAATATGAGAGAAAATTAGAAAACCTAACAAAAAGAAGAATCATATTTACATAAGCACACCTAAATCAACTATATTTATGCCCATTCTTTTTATTTTTTTCTTTTTCCTAGTGATAAGCATCAAACAGCTAACCTCAACTGGCCATATGAATTCATGATAACACCTAAATCAACTATATTTATGCCCGCCCTTTTATTTTTATTTGTTCTCCTTTTTATCCTATGAATGATAAGAATCAAACACCTAACCTTAACTGGCCATATGAATCTATGATATAGCTGGAAATCTCTCAAACGTAAAATGCATCATAACCAAATTTCTCACTGAAAAGGTTTTCATCCTTTTGTACTTGGCATTTGAAGCTTAAAGCTTCCCAAGTCACACCTCATTGCACATCCTGTATGTGCCATCAGGCTCAACACTACGATGATGACTATGGTAAGGAACAGAAGAGTGGTCAAGGATATGGGGAATGAGAAGGCCACAAATAATTTCCAATGAAGATTTTTCGATGAACCTACACAAGGAACTATTATAGGAAAATTCAGCTTGTGGTAGAATCAAGTCCCATTGATGTGGTCTTTCACCTGCCTGCTAAACAACTCAACAAATTACCATCAGTTTGGCAATGATATGCACTCCTAAATTGAAAAGTAGTTCCAAGCTTACTCTATGAAGTTGTCCAACATAACTCAAAAGTTCAGTGTCCCTCTCTGAAGTGAATGTCCTAAGCATGCCATTCAAAATAAAATAAAATAAAAATTGAGCTATGAGAAATGCATCAAAATTCTTGGTGAGGAATGAAAAATAGCCATCTTAGAAAACTTATAGTGAATGTCCTAGGTATGCCATCCGAACGGAGTACCTCCTTAAATAACAAATTCAGCTATATGAAATACATCAAAATTCTTGACAAGGAATGGAAAACAGCCATGAGTTTAGGAATTTTCCAAGTCAACCCCCCTCCAAAAAATGATTGGAATTAGCTTTAAAAGCATCAGCCCCAACCCTTGTTCCCTTATGCTTACATGTCAAAATCATACTGTACCATGTGTCAAGTCACTTAAGTGGTCATATGACTAGCATTTGGCCATTAAGTGGAAGTGGACTAACCCAATTACTAAGCCTAGACAAACTAAACAAAGCCTTAATCACTCAATCCCACCTTTTGTCATGCTTAGTATTCAAAAAAAAAAAAAAGAGTAATTAAGTAAACTAAACACTAAATTACATCAGGCTGCCTAGATACATTAGATATGTTGTTAGCCAAATGGTACTGCAGAAAGAAATGTAAATGCATTAGACAGTGAACCTATGTTAAGTGTACAAATATGGTAGGCAATTTATGGTAGAGAAATTACAGTGAAATACATAATCTACCTTAAAAACTTCCTCATATATCATATTTTCAGCAGAAGTCTACATATGAGGAAAAGTAAGGATGTTGCTCCCATTACAAGAAACTCAACTATGTATAAACAGACATAAATGCAAGGTATGATGGACCCAGGGTAACAACAGCAGAAAATAACAACCAATATCTATTTCAAATTCTCACGCTATGCAGTGGTTGGCTAGAAGAAAGACTACTTTAAACAGAAGACAAAAATAAAGCTAGCAATAGGAAATTGAAAACATTAATCTTCACACACATTCTCCCTGTAGATACAGGAAAATCTTGAAGGCACAAAAACCCCAAGTTGTGATGGTAAATCCACAGCACATATCTCAGCTTAATGTAGAGGACCACTCATAATGGTACTGAAGTGAAAATGCAATCAACAGAATAGTTTTTGCATTATACATCAAGTTATTGATAGTAAGAACAAAGGGGTCAAAAGAAAGAACACTAATCGCACTCAATTGCAGCACATAAATCCATGCATCATAAACAGAAAAACCACAAGCATCATACTTACTAAAAATAAAATAAAATCATGCATCATAAGAAAGAAGAATCCACAAGCATACTACTGGGAAAAAAAAAAAGGATTACCTTTATAGATGCACAGATAGCATCACGACTGACAAGAACTACCCCATCTATCAATTCCCTGCATAAACGGAAAGTCTCTTCGCCAACCACTTTAACAGCTACGCCATCAGCAAAACCACCCACTTGGTCCAACATAACTCTCTGGCCATGATGTAAAGACAACGCCATTGCATTTGCATCTGCAGGCTCCACTCCAATTATCTTTACCTGTGAAAAGCATGAAACAGTAGTCTTTATGAATTTATTTGGCAAGAAACAAGGTTCCTAACAGTCAAAAAGAATGGAGGCTGCAGAGTAAAGAAAGGCGTCTGATTTACAATTTGAAGACTTTAGGAATCATAATATTTGAACGGAAACCAGTTTTTATCAATAAAAGAACGATGGTAAAAGGGGTAGAGAAGGACCCAAAAAAAGGCCATGTTCTAGGTTATAAGAATCAAATAACGTTGTACAAACTCAGTAGTTGTTTTCTAAATTGATTTGCTCAGTCATCCAATAGCTATTAATTAGCATTTAAGATTTCAACACATTCACCTCAGTCTTAAAAACATTCTACCAGTATTAACTTACCCCATCTAACCGCCATTGACCACTATTGAATAAATACAAACTACAAAACATCCCATCATTTTGTCCTTACCCTTCTTTCTTTTTCTTTTTATACCAGAGCCACTTGTGCGTTCATAGACACCCCTCCCATGTATGCCATGTCATCTCCACATAACCTCCTTCACATGGTTTGGTCCCATAAATCGTCTTGTGGGCAGCATATGGACCAATTGTGTATTACCACATGTCCTCATTGCTCCCATCCACAGTTGAGCTGCACTAGCTGAGGTAGTGCCATTACCTCAAGCCCAAGCAAGTAGCAAGAATCTCCAAACCTCCATTATTGTCATTCTCTTATTCTCTCTCATAGTAAGGCCACCTCACTTCCCAGAAAGCTCCTCCAACTAGCCCACTCACCTCCAACCATCCACACCACCCCAACACACCCTTGGATGCACTAAATTTTAATCTTAGTACCATCTTAGCATTTTCTTCTTGACAATTTTTCATTTATTATTATTAACCTTTCTTGCCTTTCTAAGACTCACCATGCATAATAAAGACAAATAAATTGAAAACTTGTATCCAAAAAGGCTCCATGGCCTAATCATGTTGCACTTGAAAGAGCCTAGTCTCATTTTAAAGAATATGCAACAGCTTGAAAATAAAGCTTGAAGTGGCATAAAAAGAATTCATGGTGTATATTGACGGTTTCCTTAGATGTGCACGATCAAGGAAACTATTAGAATTAATGTATAGTAAAAGAGAGAGAGAGAAACAATTATGTATGTATTGATTGATTGATGTATATTGATATTTATTACAATGATTCATGATTCCTATATATAGAAGAGGTTGAGTGTGTAGTAGGTAAGGAGTAGGTGAAGTGGAGGTGGTAGTGGTGTAGTGGGTTAGGTTTAGTGGAGTAGGTGAGGTGGTAGTGGTGTAGTGGGTTAGGTTTAGTGGAGTAGGTGAGATGGTAGTGGTGTAGTGGGTTAGGTTTAGTGGAGTAGGTGAGATGGTAGTGGTGTAGTGGGTTAGGTTTAGTGGAGTAGGTGAGATGGTAGTGGTGTAGTGGGTTAGGTTTAGTGGAGTAGGTGAGATGGTAGTGGTGTAGTGGGTTAGGTTTAGTGGAGTAGGTGAGATGGTAGTGGTGTAGTGGGTTAGGTTTAGTGGAGTAGGTGAGATGGTAGTGGTGTAGTGGGTTAGGTTTAGTGGAGTAGGTGAGATGGTAGTGGTGTAGTGGGTTAGGTTTAGTGGAGTAGGTGAGATGGTAGTGGTGTAGTGGGTTAGGTTTAGTGGAGTAGGTGAGATGGTAGTGGTGTAGTGGGTTATCCTCAATTTCCCTAGCTTTCTCTCCCGTTCACTTAGTTTCTTGTATGCAAGCTATACTAACTCTCCTCCTAATCATAACATCTACCAATTCCATCGTCTTACCAATTAAGGTTCCTATGTTCCAAGTGGCTACCCTAAACCTATAGTCTTGGACTAGCTTCTTTACCCACGCTCGTCTAGAAAAGCGCGGAAACCTTTGCCCATTTTTCACTGCACCCAGGCGTCGATGCGGCGCCCCTTGCTCACTTTTCAAAACACCCGGAGGCAGGCGTAACGCGTCACTTGAGGGGAACGACCTAGCATTTAAACGATTCAAAGTAGGATTCATTTTCATAAGGGATCTAAGCGGCTTTTTTACGTGTTGGCTGTCGGCTACCTAACACACAACCCTCATCCTTAACCCGGGCTTGGGACCGGCGGAGTTGTTAACAACCTCGGCGGAGTTAATATAATTTTTTTTTCATACTTTAAAATAACTTTTTTTAGTTAATTTTTAGGGATAAATTACACGACGTCCCTTTTATGTTTGGCCGCTTTCCAATTTAGCCATAAGTTTGTTTTTTTCCTTCATATTTTAAATTTTTTCCGCTTTATTGTTAAAGTTAATTTCTGTTAAAAATTAGGAGTGGGAATTGTGCCGTGTCATGTCATTTTTGTGTTGTGTCATATATGGTTTGTGTTCAAAACAATCCAATACTAATCTGACCCATTTAATTAAACGTGTCAATACATGACACACTTAATGCAATTGGTAAGTTCATGTTTCATACTATAAGCAAAATGTACAGCCTATTTTTAGAAATAAAAAACAAAACTTGTTTCGCATCGCATACATAAGAATAATTTGTTTAAATATTGACACACAATGATAATATATATATATGCCAATATCTATGAAAATAATTAAAAATATTCATCATTAATTCATTACACATCCAATCTAAACTATTGTAGCTCATTAATATTTAAATATCAAATAAAATCTTAAAAGCAAAACAAATTTTCATCAAATACCAAACTAATAATAATGATGTTGCAGCTATACCACATCCAAAATAACATTGTTGTGATTCTTTCACATTGATGCCTGCCACAAAAGCACTCTTGCCACACGTTTAAAAACTCTCTTGTCTACCAATCTTAACTTCTACTGAATTATCATTAATTTAGGATTGCACTTCATTGGTATATATATTATATAGATATTTAAGTTTTTAATCTAATAGATGAGAATGAATTACTCAAGATTTTATGGTTACTCTTTCAGGTTATATTCGGGTTACATGCGAGTCAATAGTGGGTTCATGTCAACGCGTCGACAAAAATTTTTATGCGGGTCAAACGTATCCATCTCAGGTTTCGCGCCTTCAACCCAAACACGACCCATTTAGTATTCGTGTTTTCAGGTCATGTTATATTTGGATTCGAGTCAAAAAATAGTTAACCCTGTCCCTCTAATTACGTTTACGATTCGAGTCGTGTTAACAAGTTACGTGCCAAATTCCCATCCCTATTAAAAATTAGACAGAAAAATAGCACAAAAATATTTTATTATATAACTCACATCTCTAACATAAACTTAAATCCTAATATAATAATATATTTTTTATGTTATGTAACAGTTATTATTGTATTTTCTGTCTAATTTTGAACAAAAGTTTGCTTTAGGAGTAAACTGGAAAAAAAACTTGAAATATAAAGGGTTAAAATGAGAAAAAAATAAATTTTAAGCACTAAAATGAGAATGTAGTTAAATATAAGAATAATACTAGGGACCATGAACAAAATATCATGAAATGCATCATGAAGATTTTTCATCATTTGATTAATGTGTGGTATTTTATTGTATGTGTAATCTGAAGGTTGAGAATCTTTCATGATCATTTTCATAATATTTTTTTCATGATCCCTAACAATACTGTAAATCTAAAAGAGGCAAAGTGTAATTTATCCTTAACTTATTCAAGGTTGTAGTTTAAATTTCATAACTAATTCGTTACATAACCAGTAATACAATAAATTATGCTTATAAAAATAAAGTTAAAAAACATGATAAAATATACATATACATATGTTTAAACATAAAAATATATTATTAAATATAATTTGTAAATGGATTGGGTTGGATCAAATTGGGTTCGACCTAAAAAATTTGTCCAACTTGACTGTGTGGGCTTAAAAAATTCCTATATACAATTTATTAGTCACTGGGCCAGGCATGTGACTTTATAATAAGGGACTGAGCCTAACTGAAAGAGACTTTTTTTTTTTTTTTTTTTTTTTTAAATTATTAATAGTGCAATGACGTACCATGCGTGAGTGGTGGTGACAGAGATACAATCAGTTCAATTCTTAAAAAGAGAGAAAATAAAAAATAAAAAGAGTTAACATGTGAAGCACACTATGCTATAATATTTGCCTTTGACCTCGTAAACTTAAGTTTGTCATGAATGTAATTAATAAAGATAGAAGAAAAAAAAAATGGAAAGAAGAAGCATAGCAATGTCACTAGATTAAAGTAGAATTTTCTTCTCCTTACTTAACAATAATTTGTTTCACAGTTTTGATCTTGTAAAATAACTGATGTATTATTATTGATTACATTGTTGTATTGATTGATGTATCTGTATATTACAATTCCTATATATATATAGAGGAGAAGATGGTAGTAGGTGTAGGTGGTAGTGGAGGTGGTAGGTGGAGTGAGTGGTAGTGGAGGTGGTAGGTGGGTGGTAGTTTACATTTTACAATTTACATTTTACATTTTACATTAACAAACATGAACCTCTAAACCTAACTTGGAAACAAAGGAAGCTTTCATTGTTTTCTCTATTTTATTATTATTTTTATTTTTTCAATTTATACATTTTTTTCCCTTTACAATGTGGATTTATGTTGGCCTTTAAACATACGGGGTACATTTGCCTTATTTTTGTTTTAGACACAAACACCTGATGAATGTAAAGTGATTAGTCTGGAATGCAAATGTTCTTTAGATGGGAAACGATCAATGTCCAATCAGCAAAAAGAACAAAAATATAACTTAAAGTTGCAAGATCAAGTACATGAGTAGGACAACTGCACAAGTAACTAACTAAAAGAAAGAATTTTAAGACTACTGAAAAATAATTTCTCAGAGTTGCAAACACAAACCTCTGGAGAAACCCTCTTGACATAGGCAGCAATACCAGCTATTAGACCACCACCGCCTACTGGCACAAAGATTGCATGTACAGGACCTCGCATTTGACGTACAATCTCCATCCCAACTGTTCCTTGACCCATGATGACATCTGGATGATCAAAAGGAGGTATGAATGTACGCCCCTCCTCTTCACCACGTTTCTTGGCATATGTTTGTGCTTCATCATAAGAATCCCCCACAAGAACAACCGTAGCACCTAATCTCTCAACTGACTTCCACTGATTATTTATAATAAATAAATGATCAAAACACAGTTTCAAAACAATGAAAATTCTAGTGAGAATTACCAAATAAATAAATAACAAAAAACATAATTCAACCTTGATTTCAGGTGTGGTAACAGGCATAGCAATCACCGCACTACAACCCAACCTTTGCGCTGCTAATGCAACCCCTTGGGCATGATTTCCAGCAGATGAGCAGATAACCCCTCTTTCTAACTGTTCCTTTGGAAGTTTAGCCATCATGTTATAAGCTCCTCGAAGCTTGAATGAGAAAACCTACAAACAAGTTAGCAAAACACAAACTATGTTACTCCAACACTTCCATTTTTGTATTAAAAGATTTCAAATTCTTCCAAAACCACAATCACATTATGTTATATAAAAAAAAATATAAATATTATATAAGCCAAAAGGTAAGGAAATTTTACATTTAAGCTTCAATTAATCAGCATAAAAATAAAAAATAAAAATAAAAATAAAATAAAAACAAAAAAATAAATGGTAAAAGATAAAATGAAACTCCCTCGCAAAGAAGTTTAATAACAAGCTATGAGGATTTTCTAGTCATCATGCTCAAAAACTCAAATTCAGTAGAAAAAACATAAGCAAACAAGTTAAGTAAATTTTCTCATAAAATTCATAGGCTGCTAAAGCATTGGAGACTAGTACAAAGTTGAGAAGCAGGCATATATGCAGCTAAATTCAAAATCTTGACAGTCTATGAAAACTGAACTGGCAAGAATATGACACTAACTAAGCTTAAATTTGAAATTTCACATCAAAGTTCCAATCTTTTTAATTCACTTCAATGAACCTTTCAGTGATTCTCTTGAAAATATAAAAAAACCAAGCCAAACCCAATAAAATTCTAGCAGTAAAGTCCATTAGAAAACCTAAACTGTCACCACATTGCAATCATTAAGCACTGAACTAACATTAAGCCAAACATTATGTTGTAAAACCTCATAATTTGATACCAATTTGAAAATAGTAATGTAACATCAATCATTCTACACACGCAATGACTCACAGGCTGCAAATCCTCTCTCTTGAGCCACATATTCACCCCCAACCTCTCCGAGAGCTTGGAAGCGAATTGCAACGGCGATTCAACCGCAACATCGTAAACCATGGAGGCGAGTATGTTGGTCAAGTAGCCCATTTCATCGGGAATTCCATCAGGACACTCGGAGACGAATCGATCCGGTACGGCGCCGAGGAAGCCAGCAGGGTACTGTAGCGAATTGGTGGAAACTCGTAACAGAGACAGAGGAGGAGGCTTTGATGGGGAATTCTGTAACGGTTTTTCGCGGGAAGCAACGGCCGGTTCGGAGGTTGATTTGGAAATCGTGGAGACGATTAAGGGTTTCATTTTGGCGGCGTTGGTGTTGGTCCTGAAGGCGTCATTGTTGGGGGATTTGATTGGGTTTGTGAATTTGGGGCCGAGACGAGGCTGTTGCGGCGGAGCAAAACACAGAGCCTCCATAGCTATATAGATATATGTATGTATAGATGTATAGAGAGAGAGAGAGAGAGAGAGAGAGAGAGAGAGATGGCTGCAAAGGAGTTGCAGCTATGGAGGTTTGAGGGAGACGAAGGAAAGCAACGGTGGGCTTTGGTTTGTATACAAAGCGCGAGGGTTTTTGGTGAATGGTCTGTGGTCACCTGAGGGTCACGGGATTAGCTGATGAGATTGTGACACGTTGTCATCCTAACATATTTTGATTTGGTCTTCCACAAGGAGAATTGGAGAGTAGGGTGAGTTTATCCTACAGTGGCCGCCAGCTTCCAAGCATAGAGGTCAATACGGAGTTGGATTAGTCCATTGGATGGTTTAGTCTAGGCTACTTAAATTTTGGATCCGTCTTGAAGATCTAAATTATTTAATATGTAATATTTATTAAGTATTTTAATTTTATAAAAATTTATTTGATCAGATTATATTTGTGTGGATAATTTATTTTTAAAATTATAATTATATTTGACATATATTTGACTTGATCAAGTGATTATCGATATTCGATTAATGTAATTTTTTATAAAAATGAAGTAATCGACAAGTTTTATACATTGCACGGTTCGAATTATTAATATGTGCTACGTTATGAGCCCACATAAATCTAATAGCACGCTCCAATCCAATTTCGGATTGAAGGGAAGCCACTAACTATTAAAAATGTACTTAGAACGTAAATTTGAATAGAAATTTAAAGAAAAATTAAAAATTATGTGAAATGTAATTATATTTTATAATAGTGTTATATTTATACTTTTTTTTTTTTTGAGGTCTCGAGACAAAATATATACAGTCAACTTTTCAAATTATATAGATGAATCATTTTTTTTATTTTATTCACATTATATTTTCGTTTTTTCTCTCTTTCTAAAGGGTTATTTGGGCAGGGACTAATATAGTCAAAAAGTCAATCATTACCAAAAGGTTAATTATTCTCTCTATTTTTTCATATATTTTTATAAAAAAAATTAAATAATTAATTAAAATAATTAATTTTTAAATCACCTTTAAATTTATACACAAATCTATCTTTCAAACACGGTCTAGAAAGAAAATATATATATAGAATAATTGTCACCGACATGAGTGCATAAATTACTTTAAATTTATTGATTTACTCTTCTTCTTTTTTTATTGTTTTGCTATTACTCTAAAGTTCAAAGTGAAACCTATAAAATACTAAATAATACGAGGTAAAATAAGATATTTACGAAAAAGATTATTAATAACTTTAAATTTTATTTATATACAATATTATAGAAATTTATGGGAATAATTATATGCTATTGTTAAAAGTAATATTCGAGAACAAGAAAAATAACATGAATAAGAAATACATTTACAGAGTTCTTCGTTACAGTTTTCAAGAACTTTTAATAAATTTCTCTACCGTTTAGGATGTGAGTTAATTTTTTAATTATTTTAATTTAAGATTAAAAAATTCTGTATGAGATAAATTTTTTTAATTTTTTTACTTTTGTGGGAGAAAAAATAAAATGATTATAGTTTAGATGTGACATTTTGTCTTATTAAACTAAAAAATTTATTTTATCTTTTTGTGATTATTTTATTCAAAAAAATTTTCATTTTAACTTATGTCAAATGAAGGCTTATGCCTTATTTGACAACATCACTTTTTAGCCTAAAAATTAAAAAATTACTAAAAAAATTAAAAAGCTAACAATATATATTAAAAAGTCAAAATTTTATTTTTCTATCTATTTTTTAAACATTTTTTCATAAAAAATTTAAAAATTATCTTAAACATACTAATTTTTATATATTATATTTTAACTAAAAATTAAAATATTACTAAAAAAAATCATATTTGCAAACGAGACCTTAGACTTCGTGGTCTCACAAAATCCAACGGCGCGTCCGGTCTACAAATGCAACCCTTTTGCAAAGTATTAGACACTATGCGTGGAACGCATGGCTTTTTTTCATGGGTTCTAAAATAGTGAATATATGTCAATCATTATCAAATAATAATAATGTTACCACGTTGGTGAAGTTTCTCACTCTAACCACTGATGCCATTTTTGGTAGTAGTGGTGGATTCAAAAGTGAATACTTTTTTTTTTTTTCTTTTTTTGTGTGTTTCTTTCATAAAAAAAATAAAAAATAAAAAAAAGAAAAAGAAAAAGAAGAAGAAGATATTTATGCATTAAATAATATGTGATTTGGATGAAGATTAATAATAAAAATAAATAATGCTATATATCAATTAGTATACGAATTAGTGTACTAACAGATAATGTAATATAATTTTAGAAATTTTGAATCTTTATAATTTGTATAATAGATGGGGTCATAATTTTAAAATGATAATATTATAATATATGTTGGTACACTAATTGATATACCAATTAGTGTAGCACCACTGAATAAAAATTTATCTTTCAATCATATTTGCAATAAAAATAAATAAAAATAAAAAAAGAGGGTGACATATCACCCTTAGACGTCAAAGGCGAGTAATGACCATGCATCATCATTTTTTTTTTTTTTTTTAATAACTTAGTATATTCCAATATTCTTGTAACGATTATTATTGTCCTAACTATAGAACTACCCTAAAACATGAACAAGCCCATACTTAAGATAGGTGAAAAATCTAAAGGTCACCACATTATCACACACTGGCCAACTATTGCCCCGTGGGGATTTGTGTGATCGAGATGGATACTTGCTTTTACAATTGGCTTCACCAACCAATTCTCATTTTCTCAATTGAAATATCTTAATATATAAAATATCAATTTCAAAAAATATTTATTCGAGTTATAAATAAAGTTGTTAAACAAGCTAGGTTACTTGAATTTGAACTTTGACTTATTTGTTTTGTTAACAAATCATTCGAGATTACCATATGTAAATAAATTCAATTTTAACACGTTATAAAGTTTATTAAGTTTTAAATGAAGCTTGAACATTATTACTTAACTCGATAAGTTTAAATATAATATAAAAAATTAAATTACTTGAGTTTGACTTATGTTTCACTTGTTAAAAACTCATTCGAGATCAACTTGTTATATAAATAAATTATATTTGAACATATTTTAAAACTCGTTTGGTTTGAACAAAATATTTGAAAAATTTTAAAAACATAAACTAAAAAAATAAGTTTGTTTAGACCTAAAATATTTATATTTATTTTTTATTATTTATGGCAATGGGATCATACATATTATAATTGAAAAATAATTAATGAAAAAAATTAATTGGAAAAAAATTAATTGAAAAAAATAATAATTTTAAAAAATTATTTGGAAAAAAAATTATTTGAAAGAAAAATTTGTTAGTCAAATTTTTAAATTTCTGTTTAAAAACCAACGTAAACTCATTTTTTGAGTTTACATTTTTTATTCAAATTTACAAACTGAGACAACCATTTATAAATCAAAAAAATTATCAAAAAAGTTTTTATGACCGTTTTTAAAATTTTTATAAATATAAATTGAAAATTAAAAATGAAATAGTTACCAAACAGGTTATTTTTCATTTAAAAAAAAAAACTAAAATAGTTACTTTTCAAAATAACTCTTAATATTATGTTCAAGTAAACTCGACTCGTTAACAAAGCTAACTTAAAAATAAAAAAAAATAAAAAAAAATAAAAAAAAAAAACTAATTGAAATAGTTAATTTTCAAAATAACTCTATGGCTTCATTTAGAAAATAGGTTAGCTTTTGTGACATTTTAGCTTTTAGCCTAGGGTAAAAAATCTCGTTTGGATTAGATTTTTTTGATTTTTTTGACTTTTATAAAAAAAATAATAAAATGATTATGATTTAAATATAACATTTTGTTTTATTAATTTTTTATATATTTTATTTTAGTTTTTAAATTATTTTAACCTTCTAGCCTCGCAACTTTAGATGCCAAATGAGAGCTATGTTCAACTAAACTCGACTTGTTGACGACGCTAACTATAAATGCTTTCTGAGTATGTAGTATTTTTCAAAAAATAAAAAACAAAAAATTAACTAAAATAATTAATTTTCAAGATAACTGTTAATATTCTACTCGACTTGTTGACAAAATTAATTATAAATACTTTTTGAACATGTACTATTTTTCAGAAAAAAAAAACTAAAATATTTAATTTTCAAAATAATTCTTAATATTCATGTAGCTTTCACTATGGCCTAACTTGGGGGAACCGTTGCCCAGTTTACTTCCGCGTGTTCCACGCATGGTGTACGCTACGCATGTTCGTGGATTTTGGACACCTTGTGCTTGACACGTGAATGTAATTCTACATATAATTTTTGTTTTTTATTTAATTTGTTCACTTTAAAATATAAAATAATAAGATTTTACATTAATAAATATATATATGATTTTATTACTTGTGTTTAAGAATGTAAAAAATGAGTACAAAAAAATTTATATAATATTTTTTTGTTTTAAATTATGATTTCATTTTCATTTGACTATAGATGGACCTAATTACCACTTCAAATTATTATAATTCTATTTTTATCCCATGATCAACCTACTTTAATGTAAAATATAACTTATATATTGTCACAATTACAATATTAAAAAATATCATAATTTGACAATATTACTTTAATAATTTTTTTTTTTTTTAAGGGGTAGACATTGTGTCCAGAGTCAAAGGGGGGAAGGGCCAAGTGGGGGCCCTGACAAGTTTTTCAAAATTTTGTTAGTATTCATAAATTATTTCTAGTAGTATGTATATAGAATGGTAGCATGAAATTTTAATTTTTTTTATTAACCCTTTATTTTATAAATATTCTTACAATATTTATGACATAACTTTTTACTATATGACATAATAGTACGAATTATATTGATTTTCTTTGTGAATCCATTTACTAGGATTTTGATTAAAAAAATCATTGAAGAACAGTTTTTAAGTACATTACATCAACCAATAAAGTGCTTTAAAATGAAAATTTAGTAAATTTACACTAAAATTTTAATTGAATAGCTCAAAATTATATAAAATAATTGATTTCAGTATTAAAAAATATATTGATATAAATCTATTATTTTTTTGCTAATTTCTCGTAACCATTTGTGGGTGTATTCCAGATCGCTCTGTGAAAATATCACATTCTACTTTATAAGCTGATTAATTCCTTCTAACTAGCACAAGGCATTTT